TGCCTCAGCCTCCCAAGTAGCTGGGACCACAGGCGCCCGCCACAACGCCCGGCTATTTTTTGGTTGCAGCCATCATTGTTGTTTGGCGGGTCCGGGCTAGGGATTCGAACACGCCACCTTAGGTGTACGTGGCTGACACCTTAGCCCGTTGAGCTATAGGCGCCGAGCCCCCTTTTTTTCTTTCTTTTTTTTTTTTTTGGTATTCATTGAGGGTACAAAGAATTCCTGTTTCCCTTTTCTATTTTAGTTTTCTCCATGTACTTATCATCAACTTACTCTATATATTTTATTTGTTTATTGTTTATTGTCTGTCTCTGCTTCATGCACACCCCACACTCACACACTGGAATGCAAGTCAACTCTCGTTGTTCATGCCTGTATTCACAGCACTTAACTCATCATAGACACTGATCATTAAATTAATGAATTTTTCAAAAGCAGCATGAAGATTATAATTTAAGAATATTAAATAATCAGCTCTCTTAGCAATGCTATTGTCTTTGTACTCACAGGATAGAAGATCTTGGAGTTGTGGTAGATTGCCTTCCTGTGCTCACTAATAGGTAAAAACAATCTTTTTCTGAAAAGAAGCTTAAAGAAGGTCAAATTGTGTTCTATTCATATTTTTATAACTTAGTATTTCTTTATTTTAGTTTACAGGAAGAAAAACAATATATCTCCCTTGGTTGCTGTGTAGATTTGTTGCCTCTAGTAAAGTCACTGCTTAAAAGCAAATTTGAAGAGTAAGTGCTGATCTTAATCTTGATTGATTTTTCTTTTTCAGTATCATTGATTTTGTGTTTTGTGAGTACATAGTAGTAGATTGGGCTTTCTGAGACATGCATGGTTTTAATTTTTAAAGAGGTTTTATTAAAAAATTAGGAAAAAAGTGTGGCACCTATGGCTCAGTGACTAGGGCACTGGCCCCATATACCAAGGATGGTGGGTTCAAACCCAGCCCCAGCCAAACTGCAACAGAAAAAATAGCCGGGGGTTGTGGCAGGCGCCTGTGGTCCCAGCTACTCGGGAGGCTGAGGCCAGAGAATTGCCTAAGACCAAGAGCTGGAGTTTGCTGTGAGCTGTGATGCCACAGCACTCTACCAAGGGCGACAAAGTGAGACTTCGTCTCTAAAAAGAAAATTAGGAAAAGAATATGAAGTGACTAAAGAACAATTACAAAAGCATTTATAAACAAGTTACATGAAATATAATTTTTTGAAATAGATCATGAAAGTAGTAAAATACATTTTTAAAAGGAGGAAGATCAATATTTATATGGATTTTTGTAAAGGGAGAGAATATTATCTTTTGTAAAGATTTCTTAGATGAAAACACTTGAATTTTGTAACAAAATGTCATTTCAGATATGTAATAGTTGGTTTGAACTGGCTTCAAGCAGTCATAAAAAGATGGTGGTCAGAACTATCATCCAAAACAGAAATTATAAATGATGGGTAAGTATACCTTTAAAAATGAATTCATGCTGAAAATTTCTTTAGAAAAGCAGCTTGGGGTGGCACCTGTGGCTCAAAAGGGTACGGCACCAGCCCCATATGCCAGAGGTGGCAGGTTCAAACCCAGCCCTGGCCAAAAAATAAATAAATAAATAAATAAATAAAAGAAAAGCAGCTTGGGGGCAGCTCCCATAGCTCAGTGGGTAGGGTGCCAGTCACATATACCAAGGCTGGCAGGTTGGAACCTGGCCTGGGCCGGCTAAAAACAATGACAACTGCAACAACAATAACAAAAAAAATAGCCAGGTGTTGTGGTGGGCACCTGTAGTCCCAGCTACTTGGGAGGGTGAGGCAAGAGAATCGCTTAAGCCCAATTGTTTGAGGTTGCTGCGAGCTGTGATGCCACAGCACTCTACCCAGGGCAACAGCTTTAGACTCTGTCTCAGAAAAAAAAAGAAAAGAAAAGGAGCTTGATTAAACTAGGTAATAATTTTATTCTATGATCATCAGTATATAATATTTATTCTCTTCATTTTCAGAGAGATAGTATCTTGAGGTATTGTTCATTTGTGAAAAGCATACCTAGAAATTGAATTCCGCAGCCTAGTAATCACCTAGGGGAGGATCCTACCCTTCATTTTAGAAGGAAAAAGCAGAACAGTGATTTAACCCTTATATCCGTGAAAAGAGATGCCTGTAGTTGAATAAGGAATGGAAGCATCCTACAGGGTCCTTTGGCTACCTAGACATTAACTTGTTTAACATAAATTATTAAATCATCATGGTTGATGATTACAATTCTGAAAACTATAATAACCATAATTTAAGTATTATCTTGATGTGAAAAATATGTGGGTTTTTTACCAGAGTAGCTAGATGATCATGCTGCCACACAATAAAAATATCCCAACAGTCTTCTTAAAGTCCATAATTTTCTTTCTGGGCTCTCAAAATTTTCCACTTCATACCCAAGAACAAGTCATACAAATGTTTCAAATGGCCTAGTTGTTTTCTTACCTGCTTTGACAAATTAGTATCCTTTAATTTTCATGAATGACATGTATTATTTTTAATGGTTGCTTAACTTTAGCATAATTTTCTTCTGATGAATACTTAAATATTTTTAAACTGTTTCCTTAAATATATTTACTACCAATATCCATATTCTATATTTGCTTTCTTATTTTTCTTCCTTGTTTCCTCCTAGAAATATTCAAATTTTAAAACAACAGTTAAGTGGATTATGGGAACAAGAAAACCATCTTACTATGGTTCCAGGATATACTGGTAATATAGCTAAGGTAATCTATATTTAAGCTTAAAAAACAGACATACAAAAACTAGAAACACTGTATTATTATTATACATTTTAAATGAATTTTTTGGTGCTTTCTAATAATGTCTAAAGCCGATTTTGTATTTGCAAATGCTTAAGACCTTTGGGCATGATTGTGACCTTGGGAGGAAATATAGGAATTAGCCATTGAATATATTTCATATATAGTCACAGACATGCTTTGCCAGGAGGTATTTAAAGAAAATTTTAATCAGATAAAAATATTTGGAAAAAGAATTCTTCCTCTGGATTCTTAACAGCATCAGAAAACAGAAAGATGAGGAATTTAGGAAACATGAAATGAGAAACATAATCAAATGGTTCTGGAGTATTAATTTTTACTTTGCTTTTGCTTAATGTCATACTTTTTAAGAACATAAACTGCTAAAATCATAGAGTGAATCTGACATTGGTCTTTACTGATTTACTCGTCTCTTAAAGGAAAAGGTACATTGCTAGTTTGAATTTTAATATTTAAACTCTTAAAAACATTGGTAGCTTAAATGGAAGAAAAAAATTGTTAAGAAATATTTTCACTCTTCACTGGACATACTGCTATCATAAATGGACATTAGCTAGGAATATGAAAGCCTTCTTTGATTTAAACAATATAATTTCCTAAATAAAGGGATTTATGTCATGGGCTAACTTGTAAAGTTCTTGGATACCTTCAAAAAAACAAAACAACTATATATCGAGTGTCACTACTGTATGATTTTATTATATGAATTCTTAGTCATGAAAATCTTATAAACAGATACCAATTTCCCAGTAACTTTTGTTGTTTTAGGTTTTTAGAACATACATTACATGTCACTTGCTCTGAAGGAGTCTTGTATTTTGGATAATAAAACTGAAAGATGATTGCTCCCTTAGAAATTTGCTTTCAATTATAATTTTTTACAAAGGGAGAAGGTTTATTATGAAAATGACCTTAAGGTACCATTTATTATTGAGGATAATATTAAGTGATTAAAAGTTCAATGTGAGGTTCCCTAAGTTATGATAAAACCTCTATTTTAAAATTAAACCCTCAATTAATTTGTAATTTTTGAGGGAAGAAATGAGAGACTGTCATCAAACTGGCCTTGAATTTATATAGCACTGATAGAATTGCTATTAGAATGCTGATAGAGGCTCGGCGCCTATAGCTCAACCGGCTAAGGCGCCAGCCACGTACACCTAAGGTGGCGGGTTCAAATCCAGCCTGGACCCGCCAAACAACAGTGACGGCTGCAACCAAAAATTAGCCTGGCGTTGTGGCGGGCGCCTGTGGTCCCAGCTACTTGGGAGGCGGAGGCAGGAGACTCGCTTGAGCCCAGGAGTTGGAGGTTGCTGTGAGCTGTAATGCCACAACACTCTACCCAGGGGGACAGCTTGAGGCTCTGTCTCAAAAAAAAAAAAAAAAAAAAGAATGCTGATAGAATGTTAGCTGTGAATGCGGAGTTGTTTGAACACAGGAACCAAAACATCCGCTCACCACTTACCATTTATTGATCACATACTATGTGCCAGGCCCTGTGCTGAAAAAATGGAGACAAAATAAAAAGCTGAGTATAACATGTCTTTTACTCTCAAAGGGTAACAAAGGGAAAGTAAGGCAAATCAAGCAACAAAAAGGGAAATGAAAATGGATTGTATGTGTTTTTACTGTACTGACTAATGTATTGTTTTTGTTTTATCATTCAAGGATGTAGATGCTTATTTATTACAGTTGCATTGAGAGATTTCATCTATTAAAGACCACTTGGTTTTTTGAAACATCCCTGGACTATGATTTACAAAAAAGACCTCCTCTGAGAAATGTGAACTGTGGAAGAAATCAAAAACATTTTTCCTTTTAAAAGCCACATAGTGAAACCACTAATAAAGCCCTAACAATCTACTTCACATTGAAGTGGAAAAAAGGAGCAGCTTCAATTTCAATGAGGTGAAAGTGCACTATGAAGATTGTTCACCTTTGCTGCATTTGGGATTTATATGGTTATTTGGTAACATTGTTTGAGAACTACTGGGTCTGAATGCAATCTTGCATAAGAATATAATTTATACTATGTGAAAAAATAAGACAGGACTTATTACTAGAAATTACAAAGACCAATCATACATGTTTTTTAAGATTTGTTTTATGAAAGAGCACGTAAATGTGTGCAGCTTATTTTCTTATGTTGAAAAGACTCAAAGTTAAAAACATCATAGCAAAAATCAATATTAAAAATTTTTGTCCACACTGAGATACTGTGTATGCAAAATGCCTTAATTATTAATAAACCAATGTGTTACGATACCAATATCTGCTTTAAAAAATTAAAACCAACCAATCTTTTGGCATGATAAAATCATGGAATTAAATTAGGGGTTTACATTCCTGTACAATGTTGGTGAAACATATTCCATACCTTCTTTAAAACTTAAGAATATTTTTAGTATCTCAGATTTTTTTTCCAGAATCAGCATGTCTCATATGTACGTGTTACCTGTATCTAAAGAAAAAGGTGAATATGTATGAATGTTTAACTGGATGTGTCCTTGGACTTGGCTAATTTATATTCACTTTTTATTGTTTATAGATATCTAATATTTTTCATTTCTGTATCATTTAAACTTCTTTCACTTGAGTAAATTCACTAAATATTTCTATTTTTTGCTTTTTTTAGTGTGGATTTTATATAAATTCTAATTCTTTTTCATGTATTTTAAAGAGTTACATAAAATGCTTTAGACTTGTTTACAGTTAATGTTGACCTTGTATTTTAAATTCCAACACTTTAGGTCACTACCTCCTCTAATGGTTACTATGACATGCCAGCAGATTGTATGAGCTCTTTTTTTAATACCATTTTTAGTGTCAACAATCCCAATTCTGAAATGTCTTAACAGCTCTAAATCTTACCTCTTTTGAAAGTGATTGGGGTTTAATGCCACTACTGGTGGTCCATACATCATGTAATCTTTAATATGCCTGAAAGGTATCTGAGCAAAGATTTTTAGTAATTGAATTTCTCTGCAGTATTCCTTCAAGCATTTGAATGTAAATCTTTAGCATTTACCCTTTTAGTGACTACTGATAAAAATCTCAAGCATTAAAAATGTTCCCTGTCACTGAGTTCCATTTCTGTATAGCTGTATTTCATACAGCTATGTAGTAATAATAGTAAACATCAATTGTAGTGATTAGTTATTTTCTTAAATCTTTAGAATAATTCCAGATTATTGTACTTCTGTGATTTGAGAAGTGAGTTATTTAAGGAGTCATTTTTCAGAACATGGGGATTTGAATTGTTAACCTATATTATTATCTCTAAAACTTTAAGATGATGAAATATAACCCTTCACAGTCCCTATTCCTTTAATTATCATTGTCTTATCTAACAGTTTAAACTGCTTAATTTGGCTGGAGTTTGGTGCTAATGAAGCTAAGGATAGAAGTGTGATCCTTTTACAAGCTCATTAACTTCACACACATACCAAATGATCTTATGGCTACAGATTGCACCTTCCCTCAGGTATTGATCTCACAAGTTCAGCTCTTGGTCGTAAGGAAGATGGTGTGAATACCATAGCATAAACCCTTCACTGTAAATGGTATGGTTACTCAAGTAATTGGTATATGTGATCCTGTATACTTTATGTCTAATATTTAATATATTTAAAATAAGATATCTAAAATACTGTATAATTTTTAGTTTGACCAGTATTAAATAATGCTGAGTCAGATATTTTCTGTATTTTTCTCTGAGTCAGATCTTTGACTTAAACAGTATCAAAAATAAAACTGTAATAAATCTGACTTATTTAGAAATCAAATATAAATACAAATGAAATATAGTAAGAAAGGTATTATCCTGGTAACAGACTTCTTATTTCTAAATTTAAGTTTGTTGAAGGCAAGTAGATAATACTCCATTTTATATACTCAGAGCTATGTAAGGCTGAGTTTTTAGTTTATAAAGATACTCAGTAGTATACACTCCCAATTTCTGTTCTTTGGCCTTTGCAGTTTACCTTAGTACCTACCTCTCTCAGTTATTGAGTAGTGATTAGTATTAGATGATTTTCAGATTCCTGGATAAGAGATGTTAGATCAAGAAACATTAACATTATAGTTGCTGTTAAGTTCTTCTCATGCTGCAGCATTTTACTTTGAACAGTGTTGATCCCCAGAAAGAGCCAAAGAAAGTGTTTACAAAGTATTTTGGCTGTTGTATTGACCTAGATTAGGACAATTGCTGTCTGTCATTGTTCATTTGTTGCTGTGCTGCTAAGCAGTATACAGAACTAAGGGCCTACCCAAGGTCTCCATGCCATTTTAGCTCTTCTACCTTCTTAGGTTTTCTATACTTGAATTTGCTCACTTTTCAAGTATAGGGGCAGGTATATTGAGATGATAGAGAATTATAATCAAATAATTTACTTCTAGGGATAAAGTTAATGAATTATATAAAGAGTGATCATGGTCAGAATAAGGGTTAAAAGTTAGGAAGCAAGTATCAGGGTTTTTAAAATTAATCTTCTGGAGGTAATTTCAAAGGTAGTTGGCACCAGTTATTTACATGACTCTTGAGATATGAAAATTGGGTATGAGTATCTATCTCTATTTTGGAGAATCATAAATATCAGCACTGAACTCAAAAGTCTACTGAAAAATTAAATCCTAATGCCTCTAAATATGCTTGGTACTTGTCATATCCTAACCTCAAACAAGATAGTGTGGGTTCAACGCTGTATTTCTGGTCTTTGAAACAGTAGTTTTCTCATATGTAGAACATTTCTATGTTTTTTCTAGTTTGATATAACTAACAGCAAATGGATAACTAATTGGAATGATGATTATTAGCTACCAAATGCTGATAATAGAAATCAAATTCAAATGCTCACTTCATTACTTAAGTTGATCAAGAAGTCTAGAAAAGCAAGATTTAAGTAAATACTTTTATCAGTCACTCCCAGTTATCTTTATTCTTATTTAAGAATAAAATGGTAATGTCAATTGCCTTTGTTTATTTTAAAAAAATTTAAAAATTTATTTTAAAAAATCTTTATTCTTATTTAAGAATAAAATGGTAATGTCAATTGCCTTTGTTTATTTTAAAAAAATGTAGAATGCAGTGGTGTCACAGCTCATAGCAACCTCAAGAAGTGTAAGCAGCTCACTTAACTGGAGCTATCTATTTGGATACACTAATTCTTTTTTTTTTTTTTTTTTTTTGAGGCAGAGTCTCACTATGTTGCCTTTGGTAGAGCACAGTGGCATCACAGCTCACAGCAACCTCAAACTCTTGGGCTTAAGTGATTCTGTTGCCTCAGCTTCCCGAATAGCTGGGACTACAGGTGTCTGCCACAGTGCCTGGTAGTTTTTTGGTTGCAGTTGTCATTGTTGTTTAGCAGGCAGGGCCGGGCTGGGCTCGAACCTGCCAGCCTTTGTGTATGTGGCCAGCACCCTACTCACTGAGCCGCAGGCACCGCCCTGGATACACTAATTCTTATCTTTCAATCCAGACTCATTTTCTGGATTACCTTAAATGAAATAGTATTGCTGGATGTATGTTGGTAGGTATTTACTCCTATGGTATTCCTTCTTCCTTAATTTCTAGTTCTTCTAGCTATAAAAATTGTCATACAACTCCATGGCATACTGTGCCTCTTTTTTATTCTGTAACAGAATAAAAAGTTCATCCTTGAACATAGTATGCTTCTAATTTGTAATATAGCTTTATTGATTCCGTGATAGCACCAGTTATAACAATAAAAGTAAATACTGCATATTATAAACTTACTGAGTACATTTTCCAATGCTGTGTTTAAAATAATATATTTAAAATACTATAGTCATTATAATCTCTGGGTCAAAGTATTGACTTAAAATTATCTCCTAAAATCAAATTTCAGTAAAATTAAATACAACTACAAATACAACATTTAGTATATGCCTCAGTGTTTTCTCTTATAGGCTATAAGAAGTCATAAAGCACAATAAAAAAATCATTGCTGGCTGCACCTGTGGCTCCAAGGAGTGGGGTGCCAGCCCCATATGCCGGAGGTGGTGGGTTCAAACCCAGCCCCGGCCAAAAACTGCAAAAAAAAAAAATTGTTGCTATCTACCAGTAATTTCACAAAAAGGCAGCCCCACAGCTGCCAATTTGTCACAGCAAAGATTGTTGTATATTACTGCTTTTATATACAGAATGATTACTCGCTCCACTAAGTTTTCAGATGGCAGATGCTAAGAATTCAGCCCCCAAATATATTTGAACTTGTATTGATTCTTAAGCTTTACAGTATATTCTTTATTTTAATTCAGATTTTAAACCAGGATTTTTTTTTTTAATGTCCTGGACCAGGATAGGACTGTTGGAACACTGGATTTATACCAAACCTTGGAAGAAGTGATCCAAAGTATTTTCTAGGGTAAGAAAGAGTTGTCATGAGTGTATTGAAAGATACCGTATTGCCAGAATTACTTCCAGAATTATGCTATTGCATTTGTCAACCAAACCTACATGGAGCCATGGAGCTGGGATTGAAATTAGACTCACCTTTTAGGAGTCAGGAATAGAATTAGCATTCGTTTACTTTTCTACTTTCATTGTTATTTATTTACTTATTTTTAAGACAGTCTCATTTTGTTGCCCTCGGTAGAATGCAGTGGTGTCACAGCTCATAGCAACCTCAAACTCTTTGGCTTAAGTGATTGATTCTAACTAGAGAATTCTGAGCCAGAGTGAGACTCTTTCTGAAAAACAGCCAGGCGTTCTGGTGAGTGCCTGTAGTCCCAGCTACTTAGAAGGCTGAGGCAAGAGAAATTGCTTGAGTTTGAGGTTGCTTTGAGCTATGACACCGAGGTATTCTACCAAGGGTGACAAAGTGAGACTGTCTAAGAAAAAAAAAAATCTCAAGTCATATGGCATACTTACCCTGGCTGTGTAGCCACCTCTTTTTGCCTCTTTTCTTTTGAAGGATAATCTGCCTGTTAGGCATCAGTGTTCTTCAGGTTTGTATTGTAAGGGCCCGTTTCTTCTCACTGTACCATTTCCCTGAAAAACATAAATTAGACCTATGGCTTCCTTTATATTAATTGTTACCACTTTGAGGATAGAAAGGATGCTATTTTGTGGTTGGTCAATAGAATGGATTTTTTTAAAAGCAGACATTGAATTGTATGTTCATCATTCTTAAATACATACTTGCCTTAAGCTCAACTCTTAGCTCTGAAATGTTTATTCAGTTGCCTACTGGAAACACCCATTAGGATATCTTGTAGGACATCCTAAATTCAGCATATCCAGAATGGACCTCATTTTCACCTCTCCTCCCCTTCATTTTATCCCCACTGCCTATATGTGGACAAAAAGTTTATTGAAAGTACTAAAATAAACCCTCCTAAATCCTGGTTTTCCATTTTCTTGCATAGCCCTAATACCAGCAGTTGTCAAGCTGCAAACCTCTGAATCATCTTTGCATCATCATCTCTGAATCACTCTTCAAATCCTGTTGATGCGACCCCAAAAGTTCCCTTCTTTTCTATCTCTCTCCACTTCTGCCATTAATCCAGGAGTTGCCTGCATTGTTCCAGCAGCATCCTCATTCATCTTTCTGGCATTAGTCTGTATCTTTCCAACCCATTTTCTGTACATGCTACCCCAGGGTAATTTAT